AGAGACAGAAAGACAGAAAGCGAGAAATCACCTCCCAGGGGGGATGGCCACGCCGTAATCCCTTCTCCTCCATTCTCCTCTCGGGATCTTGGGCATGCACGCATATGCGCCTGGCGTGAGTTTTAAGCCACCGGGTCCGAGACTCGAACCGTGGACAACTACGTGGGAGTCCAGCGACTTAGCCATTATGCTAGCTGCTGGCCTCAGTATTTCCCTTTATTATAAAAAAAAGGCTTTGTCTGTTGGAAAATAAGGCTATTTATATTCAAGAGCGAAGGACAAACTTCTGCGCGATGCCGGTATGTCCCAGCACTAAGTAATGTATTACTGGAATGACCATCTTCAAGCTGAATCTGATTTGCATCAGTAATGGAACCCTCTTCTTCTGTCTTCTCTCCTCATCTTCATCCTGACCGTTTTCCAAGTCCATGTTATTCTAAGGGAAAAAAACAAGGGATAATCTTAAATCTCATTTCTAAACATACCGTCCAATGCTTACCCTGGCCAAGGCATATCTGGAATCTTCTTCAACCACCTTGTCCACGATTTAAAGGAAAAACACCCATGGGTCGGCAGGTGATGTGGTGTGGTTAAGGTGCTAGACCCCCACAGGGCCGACCGTGGTTTGAATCCTGGGCCTGGCAGCTTGTTTTTTCACTTTCCCTCTTTTGCTGCCTCTCTCTGGCCAAATTAAAAATAAATAACTAACATTTAAAAATTATTATTATTATTATTTTAAAAAGAGAATAATCATTTACATTTGCAGCTGACTTTTAACTGTTTGGAATCAATGTTTAATCTGAATCGCTTTAAAAAGTTCTCATCAAGGGAAATCGGCTCGGAAACCATCCTTTCATATAAAACAGTCACAGAAACTCCTCTCAGGACAAAGGGCTCTTCCCTCCCCACAGGCAGGTGATTTTATGCAGGTCACAGACTCTCCAGGTCTGGGTCTGACCCACGTCCGCTACCTCCTTGGCCTTCTCTGGGGAATGTGAAGTCTGACCAGCTCTGTTCGCTCAGCCTTTGACACACATGGAAATTTCCTGTGGCATTTTGGGGTGACCTGACACTTCTATGGAGACGCAGCTGCTGGGATCTGCCTAGCTGCTAACAACGCAAAGGAGTGTACACTTGGCAGAGGGGAGCGGTGGTCTGTGGGGTGAACGGATGCTCTGGGATCCGGGCAGAGGAGGACGTTCCAGACGTGACTCCTCTAACTGAGGTCCTGCTCGCCAGGGGAGAGAGGCTTTGGCCGGCAGCCTTAGGGACAGATCTGCCCAGGCAAAGCTCCTCAGGACATGACCCTGCATTTGGGCATGGCAGAGACAGTTCAACGGGGTACACTGGCCTTGTCATAGCGGATGTGACGTTTCTGGGGCCATAAAGTCATTAAATCTGGTGGGGAAACTCGGCCTTGCAGTTTTGTTTGGTTTATTTATTTATTTATTTTTGGAGAGAGATCTTTGCTGTGGGCTGCATGCACTCGCTAGAGAGACGGAGAGATAGAAAGTGAGGCATCACCCCCTGGGGGGATGGTCACGCCGCAGTCTCTTCTCCTCTAGTCTCCTCTTGGGCTTTTAGGTACACACGCGCACATGTCTAGCATGAGTTTTAAGCCACAGGGTCTGGGACTTGAACCGTGGTCGACTACGTGGGAGTCCAGCAACCATGGTTCGAGTCCATTATGCCATCTGCGGTCCCTGGGTTTATTTATTTCACAACTCGTTTTTTTTTTTTTTTAAAGAGGTTTTTGCTATAGGGCGCGTGTGCTCGCCAGGAAGACAGAGACATAGAGAGATAGAAAGCGAGAAATCATCCCCCAGGGGGGATGGCCACGCTGCAGTCCCTTCTCCTCCATTCTCCTCTCAGGATCCTGGGCACGCACGCACACACGCCCGGCGTGAGTTTAAGCAACCGGGTCCGGGACTCGAACCATGGTTGGCTACGTGGGAGTTCAGCCACATAGCCATTACGCCAACTGCTGGCCCCACAACTCCTTTTTACTCTATGTTCTCACCACTGTGGCCCCGCCTTCACTCAGAGAGGAGGCTGTTGACAGCTGGTCTGCAGAACTGGAAGAAAGAGTGAACGGAACCACAGTGTCCTCAATGATCTTCCGCTCCTAAGAAGAAAAAAAACAGGAGTCAAGGAAGGGAAGGGCAAGGTTTGGAAAATAAAAATCATGTTTGTCAAGAGAAAAATTTCACTAAAGGAATTTGAGGAAAAAGTCATCCGACTATGTGCAAAGAAGCAGGGTATTAAAAAAAATGCTGGGAACCAGCAGTTAGCATAATGGCTATGTTGCTGGACTCCCAAAAAAAAAAAAAAATGCTTATTTCCCAAAGTGTGCGAATCATGCATCACTCTCTGGGCAATAATTTAGAAATCAGCGTTTAATTTAGAAACACTGTCTTTGCAACTACTGACTGCAACTCAGGTGCCTAATTAGAAATGCTGTTAGTGATCTGATGGTGCCCACAAATGATCAAAGATAAAATCTACAGAAATATTAATCATAAACACATTACAGATAATATGTATAAAATGTGGACTCTTTTATTATTTTTTTATTATTTTTTCTTTTTTTGGAGAGGTTTTTGCTATAGGGCGCATGCGCTTGCCAGACAGACAGAGACAGAGAGACAGAAAACGAGAAATCACCTCCCGGGGGGATGGCCACCCCGCAATCCCTTCTCCATTCTCCTCTTGGGATCTTGGGCATGCACGCACACGCGCCAGGCGTGAGTTTTAAGCCACCAGGTCCGGGACACGAGACCCGTGGTCGACTACGGGGGAGTCCAGCGACATAGCCATTACGCTAACTGCTGGTCCCAGTGGGCTCTTTTAAATTCTCTAATGTGGCCTGGCTCGTTTATTAAATTTTTTTCTTCTTCTTTCTAAATCTGTTTAGGACATAGTAAATGCAGCGATAGATAGACAAATAAATACATAAATAAATAAATAAATATTTTTTTGGTTCTTGTTAGATCTTTGCCATAGGGTGAGTGTGCTCCCAGAGAGAGACAGAAAGGGAAAGTGAGAAATCACCCCCTGGGGGAATGGCCACGCCAAATCCCTTGTCCTCTCAGGATTTTGGGTACACACGCACTGCTCCCAGTGTGATTTTTAAGCCACGTGGGATCCAGTGCCTCAACCACCGAGCCACCTGCTGGCCCAAAGATACATTCTTTTAGCCTCTACATCAGAAGCATCCTTATAAAATCAATTCCCTACTACCAAATGTGCTTGCCATGAACACACGTACCAATAAATAAATAGATTCTTTCATGCCATCTAAGAAAAATAAAACCCTGGCTCTGATGGAAGAACGAATATGATTGCACCGTCTCCCCCAACTGCGGTCCAGCTCGCCCTGGCTGCGGACCATGCACGGTGGTCCTGTCGCGCCTTCGTGTAAGGACCGTTGAAAGAGGGCGAGGGTGCTCTGCTCTGAGTGGTCAGACACACACGGGGGACAGGCGGAAGGGCTGGGGTGGGGTGCCCATCCCTCCTGGGAACCTCCTACCTCTTCGTAGTATCTGCGTTCCTCCTCTTCCACCTCCTTTTGGGCCTTTTCCCATTCTTCCTTCAGCTTGTCCTGCTCCTTCTGGTATCTCTCCTGTGGGGGGATGTCCACAGACCGGGCTGAGCTGATCACTGCGTTCCCCATCGGGACCCCTTTTCCTCCTCACCCTCCGCACAGTATGTCGTCAGAGTCTCTCCTCGTTGCGATGGTCTCAACCCAGATGATCACGCAATAGCAGGGCAGGACTATTCTGTGGTACTCAGATACTTCAGGGACATAAGCATCCCGTAGAGAGCAGTGTTTTCTGACGTTGGTATGTTATAGATTTGTACTTCAGATACATGAGTAGCAATTGGCTTAGGACCAGCAGTTAGCGTAATGGCTATGTTGCTGGACTCCCATATAGTCGACCACAGTTCGAGTCCTGGACCTGGTGGCTTAAACTCACGCCGTGCACGTGTGCGTGTGTGCCCAAGATCTTGAGAGGAGGATGGAGGAGAAGGGATTGCAACATGGCCATCCCCCCAGGGGGGTGATTTCTCACTTTCTGTCTCTCTGTCTCTCTCTGTCTGTCTGGCTGAGCACACGCACCCTATTGCAGAAACCTCTCCAAAAAAAAAAAAAAAAAGAAAAAAGAAAGAAAGAAAGAAAGAAAGAAATTCACTTATAGATCGCTCTTCACTTAGGTTTTGTCCTAGAAAGGCTAAACCAATAACTTGCTTCTACTGGGCCCTTCGGAAATGTTATGCCCTTCCACTAGTAGAAATATGTTCATGCACAGAGAATTTAATAAAGATTTTTTAAAAACCAAAAAACTTGTAGGTTAACAAGATAGACGATGCAGAAAGTCTAAAATGGACAAGACCGTGATTGGCTGAGTGGTTGAATTATGCGTGTACCAACATGCAATCTTCCTAGTTTTAAGACATTTCTGAATTAAGAGCAGTTTTTTTCTTTTTTTGTCTTTTAACTGCCAGAGAGCACGTGTGCTCACGAGAGAGATGGAGAGACCGAGAGGGAGCAAGCACCCTCCGGTGGGATCCGGTCACACCACGATCCCGTCTTTTCCACGTCTCCATTCTGTCAGGGTACTGGGCCTGCATCCACATATGTCCCGCTTCTTTTCCAAGCAGCCAGGGTAAGACTCCAAGCACATTTGGTAGTAGGGAATTGATTTTATGAGGATGCTTCTGATGTAGAGGCTAAAAGAATGTATCTTTGGGCCAGCAGGTGGCTCGGTGGTTGAGGCACTGGATCCCACGTGGCTTAAAAATCACACTGGGAGCAGTGCGTGTGTACCCAAAATCCTGAGAGGACAAGGGATCTGGCTCTGGCTTTCCCTCTCGTTAAATTTACGGAGGGCACGTGTGCTCGCCAGAGAGACAGAGAGAAGGGAGGGGAGAAAGCGCCATCCTCCCTTTCAGGATTCTGGGCACGCACACATGTGTACCTAGCATGTTTCGCAAGCTGGGTCCAAGCTGGAACTGTGTCGTCGGCCATGTGGGATCCAGTCCCCTTAACCACCAGGCCATGGGCTGGCCTGGGAGCTAGCTCTCTTAGCCAGCAAGCCACCAAGCTGGTCTTCCGGGATTCTTTTTGAAGTCCTATTAACCCATAAAACTAGCATGAAGCAAATAAAAACACGATACATTTATTACACGAATGTTTAGAGAATCGGAAATGAGCAGCTTTAACTCCAAACATTAATACTTAAGGGACAAGACTGGGACCAAATATTCCGTGCCTATGCTATCGAACAGCTGTTTCATCCTTTTTTTTTTTCTTTTTTTTGAGAGGTTTTTGCTATAGGGCACGTGCACTTGCCAGAAAGACAGAGACAGAGAGACAGAAAGCGAGAAATCACCCCCCGGGGGGATGGCCACGCCGCAATCCCTTCTCCTCCATTCTCCTCTCGGGATCTTGGGCACGCACGCACACGCACCCGGTGGGAGTTTAAGCCACCGGGTCCGGGACATGAACCGCGGTCGACTACATGGGAGTCCAGCAACATAGCCATTACGCTAACTGCTAGTCCCATTCATCCATCATTCCCACTGCCACTGGGACTGCACTCTGACCGCCAGCTAAGGAGGTGACGAGTGGGCAGACCGGCCCTGTGACAAGTATTAAAATGCGCGTTTTCACCTCAGGTGCGTCAGAGTGACCTCTGGCAGCAGGAA